ATCTAGAGAAAGAATAGAGGGGTGCGGCTACGGTGATTACTAAGGGTAAATTGGGTATGGAAAAATAAATTATATTAATTAATCAATTTTAATAAATTACATTTTAGGTAGTTACAAAAATATATTAATTACAATTTTTTCTCTTTCTCTCACTTCCGTAATCTCCAGCCAGATCTCCTTTCTATATCTTTCTCAATCTTTCTGCAAAAGAAAAAACATGAAATCACTGTCAATCCATTAGACAACCACTACCATTTTGAAAAACATCAATACCATTGCATAAATAAATCTATACCATTACACGAAAACTAGCTAGCAATATAAACAATCTATACCATTTCGTTTGAAGGAGTGCGTTAGTAAATAGCATAAGATTCATAATTGAATGTCTCCACCCTATTCGGAGTTATTGGGACCGTGGATTGATGAGTAAGAAATTCAATCACTCTTTTGTTTGAAGATGAAAGTTAAGTGACTTGTTAGACTTTTTGTGCGCTTAGCCGCCTAGCCACAGCCAATTTGGTAAGAGTGTTACTATTCGTCGCCCTAAACCATACAAATTTACAAAACAACCCTTCATTTAGTTTTATGGTTCAACCACCTAGAATTAATGTTCCAACCACCTAACCCAACCCATTTAACTCTTTCTTCCAACACAAAACAGAAATATCAAACCAAAAATTAAAACCAAACCACACAACACAATATCCAACTACAATCTTCTACATTGATAAATTTTTGCCGGATTGCGGTGAGTTTGCCGGAGGTAGAAAAGTAGTCGGTCTCGATCGTCATAGCATGCAGGGACTCGGACTAAAGGTAAGATTTCATTTGCAATTTTTTTTTCTTCTGGAAAACAAGTCGAGCATGTTGAAAATCTGCCTCGACCGGTGGTCAAGCATGTTGAAATCCTGCATCAGCCATGGAACGGACGGGTTGTCCACCTGCCCGTTCCATCCTCCAGGAATGCTCGCAACATGCTCGTCCTCCTGTCTAAGCATGTTTTCAACATGCTCGACCCATGGTTCTTTCTTGTTTTTAACATGCCCGTCCCTCGGTCTGGTCTAGTTTTGAACATGCTCGAGTTAACTTTGTGATGTCATAGACCTTTTTTAATGAAAATTCACATAAATTATAATATTTATGATCATTAAGTTTCGTTGTTAATTGTGTTTATTAGGAATGAGGATAAAAATCTTGTGCCACCATCATTTACTAACAAGGAAACTATTATGGATGATTCGGTAAGTAGTTATTTTTTATAATTTAATTATCGTAACATAATTGTTGCACAACTAAATGTTTTTAACTTGTATTTCTTGTAGGGTGGATCTGGAGTTAATGAGGGTGACAATGTTGATTGCACATCATTGTTTCTAAGTGATATTTATGATACCCATGATCAAGCTTGTAAAGCGGCAAAGGAGATTGCCATGAGTAATAGTTTTTCCTTGATAGTGGCATCAGTTTAGAGAAACCTTGGAGAAGGCAATCCGCGGATCTATATGGATTGCAACCATGGTAGTAGGAGCAACTCATATACGTCTGATCCCGCAAAGACAACACGGAGCAAATCTACAACAGGCAAGTTAGGTTGTCGTTTCCGAGTGGTGGTGCAATCCGTAAAAATAGATGGCAAGTGTAAGTGGAGAATCATGGGATTAAGTCGAGGGGATTTCACAGTCACAGATTAGAGGTTTACTCTGAGGGAAGCAGGCAAAAGAATGCTCTTTCGCAGGTGGAAAAAATGAATATTAAGGAGTTGGAGGCAACACATACTCAGGCGAAAGATATCAGAAGTTTGCTCAATATGAAGTACGATGCTCATCGCAACATGACTCAGATTTATAATGAGACAGCAAAAATTAGGCGTGAGAGATTGGGTGGGTTGAAACCTATGCGGTGGACATTGATAGAAGCTCAACGTCTTGGCTACTTTATTGAGTGTGAATTTGATGATCAACGTCGTGTTACTAGACTCTTCCTATGCCATCCTGAGTCGATTCGGATGTTGTTGGCATGGTATTTTGTTGTTTTGATAGACTCGACGTACAAGACTAAGAAGTATAAGCAGCCACTGGTTCAGTTGATTGGTGTTAGTCCGGTGAAGAAGAACTTCAACATTGGGTTCGCATTGATTTCAGATGAGACGAAGGAGACATATGCTTGGGTTTTGATGCAATTGAAGATTGTGCTTGGTGATCGAACCCCGGTTGCGTTCGTCACAGACAAGGCGGGAGGATTGGATGTCTCTTTGCAACAGATCTTTCCATCTGCAGCTCATTTACTAGATTGATTATGTTATTGATGTGTCTAGTGTGTGTTTATGTTCAAATTTGTGTGGATTTAGGTGCAATTATCAAGGATTGACATTTTGTGTTAAAATGTATGTGATTTTAGGTGGAATTAATCAATGATTTTGTGTTCAAATTTATGTGGATTTAGTTGAAATTAATCAATTGTGTTCACAATTATTGTTGCTGAAAAAATAGACTAGGCAGGTTGAAAACCTGCCTGCACCACGGACCAAACATTTCACCTACCCATCTTCACCGTGGGTTGAGCATGTTGCACACCCACCTGACGGATGGTGCAGGAATATACCCTTCCAGCACAGGCCGTGGACAAAGCATGTTGTGAACCCGCCTTCCTGGAGGTACGGGCATATATCCTACCCGCCCTTCCGGAGGTCGAGCCATATTTTCTACCCTTCTGACCGCTGGTTGAGCCATATTCCCTACCCGCCCGATGGTTAAAAATTGTTGTTTGTTGTGTTTTTGTTAGATATATAAGTAGTGGTTAAAATTTTTAATTAGTATATAAACACTCAAACATAACACATCCAAATGTACCTTAAGAAATATTCAACATCAATCTTAAGAAATATCCAACAACAAAACATAAAATATACAACATCCAAATGTACCTTAACAAATATCCAACATCAAAACATAAAATATCCACCATCCAAAACACAAACAAACTAGAACTCAACATCTAAACAACAATGTTCAACATTGAACAACAACTAGGTGAATGGGCGATACGGTCTCTGTTCCCTAAAGTCAACGTACTTGTCACGAACCCGTCGAACCAAATCACCATAGGCACCCAACCTGTCAAGATCCTCATCAGGAGCACGAAGCATGAGGGGGAGGATCCACTGCAGCTTGACGACGCGAAAGCTTCTCCTGACGCTCCTCCTCACGAAGTCTATCTGACTCCTCCTGACGTTTTTTCCGCTCAGATACTGTAACGTTGCGTCCGAGAACCCTCGATTTTTCCTTGCCCCTTCTTTCGCTCATTGTTGCCTGCTATCAAGAAAATAAAATTATTTATTTTCAGAATTGTAATTGACAACCATACATCTTTTAACTATACATAATAATTATTTACAACCATAAAATTTATGAATTCTAATAGAAATTATATTTTCAAATACAAATTATATTAATCATCACAATTCATATACTAATTCTTACCCTTTCTTTCGCTTATTTTTACCAACTATCAAGAAAATAAAATTAATTCTATTTAGTATTGCAATTAACAATCCTATATTCATTAACTATTTATAATCATTATTAACAATCAACAACTTTTTCAATTCAAACACTACTTATATTGTCAAATGCTAATTAACATCCTCTCATCACACAGCAACCGCAACAAACAGATTCTTTTCTTCCTTCCCATTATAAAAGGTCATATACTGATTATAATTTACCATTCAAATTTATATATTATTAATTAAAATATAATATCTGCATGGAAAACATAATTTTGATGAAGGTAGGTCCAAAATACCAACACAACAGTGAACAAAAGGCACATGCAGAAGGTCAATGGAAACGCTAGTGATCTTCCACTAGCTCAGCAGAAATAGACATCAAACAAATGCAATCAACATCCACACATGGAAAACAAAGGAAAAAAGTAGAATGCGGCCTAAAGATTCAGTATCTTAACAGATAGAAAATAAGATGAGAGTGTGGGGCAGAGCAATATGCAGAACAGTCTAAAGGAGCACCCTATGAACCCTCAATTCGTGACAACAGATATAACGAAGGCACGATATCATCTCTCATTAGGGATCTAAGCGTGAAAAGGGTGCAAAATCAACCAACGAGCAGGCAGCCAACCCAAAAGCCAACTACAAAATTACCACCAACAAAAACCATTGAAAAAAGCCACGAATCCTTCCCCAACCTGACCATCCTGTACCACTGCACCGAGATAATACCGCAAATCCAAAGTGCACCATGGCAGGGCGGGTCAGAGACCGGATCAGACCAGGGTCGGGGCAGGTGGGCTACCTGGCTCCGCCGGATCCGCGCGGGTGCCCTGCCTGCGTCTACCCTGACCCAAATCGACGCCCTACCTGCCTCTAGCCACTAGCGACGGGTTTTCAACCCGCGACGTCGGCGCAACTCAACCAAACGAGAAGAGAGGGAGAGAGAGATTTACCTCTGGCGGGTTTGAGCAGAAGCAGAGGGCTAGAGGCGGACGATTAACAAGTCGAGCTTCTCCTTCCTCCTCGGCGACAGTGCGGCGGATCTGGGCTTGGGCGAAGATGCTGGCGGCGATGGGTCTGGGTGGCGGCGACGAGTCTTGGTGGTGGAGGCGAGTCTGGGTGAGGGTGGCGGCGACTTCCTCTTGGTGCTAACCCGAAGCGAAGTCGATGACTTGGGAAACGAAGAGGAGAGTGACGGGGCAGAGATAAACGAATGAGTTCTTCTCAATTGAGAAAGGAGGAGCTTCGGCGGCGACTTCCTCTCCTCCTGGATGGCGCCGGAGCTCTGGGTGAGGGGTGAGGGTGGCGGAGCTCTGGGTGAGGGGTAAGGGACGGCAGGGTCTGGGTGGCGGCAGGTTCTGTTTTGGAGGAAAATCGGGTAAGGGACGGGTGGGTCAATTTAGGGTTTAGGTTAAATGAGGGGTAAACTTGTCCATGTATATAAGTTTAGGGCTATAAATTCAAAAACTTAGGGCTACAAATAGAAATCCAGTTTGGTAATGCGCGGCCCAGGAACGGAGTCGTAGCACCAAAATAAGCGCGGAGAACTCATATGCTTTGTTGAGCACACTATCTAGTATTCTCCATTCTCAAAGCAACAATGTCGTCCGTCATCGCCTTCTCTACGACTACAACGCCGGCGGCGACGGTCCATGGCGCGTACATCAACCGCCGGTCATTTCCCCGTCGCCTCGCAGGCCATCATTCACGGCTCGCCAGGTCAAGATTGCCACAGATTACTGCTGCTCTTGCTCAGAAGACCGCGTTGCAGTACAGGAAACTCGGCGACTCTGACCTCGAAATCAGCGAAATTACGATAGGAACAGTTGAGTATACACCACCTGCATCATGAAATACGAATTGCTGCCAGCTAGGGTTTTTTTCCTAATCACAAGTAAAAGGATTATCGATGTCTTCTTTGATGCTTCAGATGACCTTCGGGGAGCAGAATACTGAGAGAGAAGCTCACGAAATTCTCAGTTATGCATTCGAGAACGGCGTTAACATCCTGGACACTGCAGAAATGGTGAGTCCTTTCGTTCCGTTACTTTGCTGTTTCCATGGCCGACGATGACTGATTGAGTCTTTACTACTTGCTTTACAGTACCCTGTACCACCGAAGAAGGAAACACAAGGGAGAACAGATCTCTATGTCAGTAGCTGGATGAAGTCTCGGCCCCGCGATAAGGTATGGGTAGAACCTAGGACGGCCACTGGATTATTTGTGAAAGCTAGTTTCTGAGCTTTGTGAATTCTGTTGGTAATTTCGTGTCAAATTGGGTTAGGTTATTCTGGCAACAAAGGTTGCTGGTTATACACAACGATCGAATTACCTCCGCGATGATGCTGACATTGTTAGGGTCGATGCTGCTAACATCAAAGAGAGCGTGGAGAAAAGCCTTAAGCGTCTCGGGACTGATTACATTGATCTGCTGCAGATTCACTGGTGAGCTTTAATGGTCTCTCTTTAATCAGGATGAAGGTCGCAGGCCTGCTTCACATTATGCACTTTCATCTGTTGCTTGTGCAACTTGCTTTGAATACAGTGCCCTATGTATGAAGAACAGAACACTAGCAGGGCAATAGACCAAAGAATTTGGAAGTTTTTTTGTGATTTTGATACAAAATATTTAAATATGTGTGCCTGAAGGTTTAGAAGCTCACTTGTTCAATAAGATTTTAAGCACCTGGAACTCGTATAGCTTCAGTTAATTGGATTGGTTGTAATGTCATTCAAGTAAGCAGCAGACAATGCATTAGTGTGCAAGAGCTAAAATATCATAGATTTACTGAAATGAGAATCAGTAGGATGGCTGTTGCTCCTTTCCTGTTCACTCATCGAGCAATATCCATTGCATTTTGATCATACAATTATGTGTGCATGTTTTTTCCATTAGCATTCATACGTGCACTACAGCACCCTTCCTGGATTTCTCATTTCTTGATTCTGTGTTGGAGTGAAAATATTAAGTGTATTTTTGGTCCAAGAGAATCAGGAAATATTTTAGAGACTGATGTATAAATTGAATTTCTTTGCTGTCCAGGCCTGATCGCTATGTACCATTGTTTGGTGAGTTCTTTTATGATTATTCAAAATGGAGACCAAGTGTGCCTATTGTGGAGCAATTGCAGGCCTTTAAAGAACTTGTTGACGAAGGAAAGGTAATGAGTGCCTCAATCCTAGACTTAGCTGCACCTTCACTTCTGCTTTCATATGTTGAACCCATTCCAATCTCTATCCAATCGTTTTTTCAGTAAAATGCATCATGAGCATGTGTTAGTATTTGATTAAGCTTGAATTAAGTTCTCAAATTTTCTTATCTGGTTTCTGAATTTTCTCATTCCTGGAGCTAGATGAACCTTCAGCCAGTAGGGAAGAGGAGCTTGTTTGCTTTTTTTTCTTCTTTTTGTTGGTTCAAGGAATGACAAAGCTAACCGAATTCACTTACTCACAATATCCAGGTGCGGTATATAGGTGTATCAAATGAGTCCTCTTATGGAGTGATGGAGTTTGTTCATGCTGCCAAAGTTGGAGGCCTACCAAAGATTGTCAGTATCCAGAACAGCTATAGTCTGCTAGTGAGATGTCCATTCGAGAGTAAGTTACTTGATTGGGAATTTTATCAACTGAAGGGAGTCAACTATTTCAATCGAGAATAGTTCTCTAAATATTTCCGGGAAATATTTGAAAAGTTGTCATTTATAAAGTCTAGGTTCCCTATAAAATCTGTTCTTCTGGAATGTTAACTCCAGGCTCCCCCTTTTTAACAAGACGAGAATCAAGTGGTCTTTTCCTTCACACTTTATGCTGCTGAAGCCCTATGAATATGTTGGTGTTATTGACACATTTGTGCTCAATGACATGCAGTTGATCTTTCTGAAGTTTGTCACCCTAACAACTGCAACATTGGCCTACTCGCTTACTCTCCCCTGGCTGGTGGAGCACTTTCTGGTAAATACTTGGATCTGGATTCTGAAGCTGCAAAGAATGGAAGATTCAAACTCTTCCCTGGGTACATGGCAAGATACAGAGATTCACTCGCCAGGGTAAGTAATTAAAATACACTTCTCCATAATATCGAACTGAATTCCAAAGTTTCCTTTCCCTGTACTTACAAAACGACCCTTCTTCATTGATCCCACCAGGAAGCAACAGTACATTACATTGAAATGGCAAAGAAGCATGGTTTAACTCCAGTTCAGCTAGCCCTGGGATTCGTTCGAGACCGACCTTTCGTGACAAGTTCTATTGTGGGTGCGACATCTGTTGCCCAACTCAAAGAAAACATTGATGCTTTTATCACCACGGAGAGGCCTTTATCACCAGAAGTAGAGGCGGATATCGAGAGCATATTCAAGAGATACAAAGATCCTGCTATCCTCTGAGAAGTCCAGGTCCTGTAGATTGTTAACAGCAACACCTATTTCTTCTGGTCCTGTATACCTTTTACCTTTGGCAAGCGCATATTTGTCTCAATAATTAAACGAGGGAGAGTGACAGTCGCTCGATGAATTAGTTGCAAGATAGCAGACAGAAAGACTAAGGGGAACGCTTCATTGTCTCTATCTCCAGATTGTAACCAATAACTTTGAGTGCTCACCGAGCTGCTGCTTAGGTTCGGAAGGTAATCCGACAACGATAAGCAGTTCTCGAACACTAAACTATACTATTCGAAAAAGAATCTAATTATCCACATGTTTGGATTCTGCATTTCAATTATGAAGATCAAGCAGAGATAGTCAATGATCTTCCAACGGAACGCCATAGCTTTGACAGTATCAGAATCACATTTCCTTTGGAAATATTGCCGGAATGGTATTTCTTTCCCGTATTTCAAATACTTCGTACAGTACCCAATAAGTTATTGGGTGTTCTTTTAATGGTTTCAGTCCCTGCGGGATTATTAACAGTACCCTTTTTAGAGAATGTTAATAAATTTCAAAATCCATTTCGGCGGCCCGTGTAAACGGCGATGCAGACAAATTAACTACGTCAAGCAGTTGAGCTCCAGCAGCTGACGCAGCCACTTCTGTCAATGAACGTTTCTACAAAGCACGTGAAGCAACATAGTAAAGGAGTTTTCGAGCAATAAACTGACAGGCGGAAACACAAATGATAATCCTGACATCACAACGTAACACATATGAAGGATAACAAAATGAACTCTGAAGAACACAAAACTCAGCATTACATAAAACCAAAAATTTGGTCAAGATCTAATATCTCATCATCCATCCGTAACTTCAGTGCACATTTTTCCAGAGAAACAGTAGGCTGGGAACTAAAGTCTAACAAGCAAAATTAAGCACAGCAATCTCCCTGTGTGATAAGCCTGCCTCGCAATGTTCTTCAGTCCTCAAGGTGCAACGATAATCCGACCAGCAACCTGGTCAAGATCCCTCTGGCCACTTGAAGTGATTTTCCTTCCACTGAAAACCAGAATACAAGAAGAATATGTTAAGCAAACCAAAGAAGAAAAAAGTCTCTATTTGCTCATTTTACTAGGCTACTGTGAAATAAAATTATTGGACGAATGCAATGTATGAACAAAGAGAGATGAGCAAGAATGATCAAACACAGGTAACTCACCCAGAGGGCTCAATTGCAACAAGGTTCAACTTCTCCAGTTGTTGAAGAATGTGACGGGCAACAGCGCCACTGCTTTTGCAGAAATGGGGAGGACGGCTTCCATTCCTTTTGCTTCCACCATAAATTCTTCGGAAAGCACCAACACCAAGGCCTCCCCTCAGGTACACCTTTCTTGCCATCGAGGCTGCAGCCATCATCATAATGGAATTACAACCAGTCAAATGATAAAAGACTGTCATTAGGACCAAGTATATGCAGGTTATTGGCATTATGATGGTGCTCACCAGCTCTGATGTAATACCAGTCGGGATCATAAGGGGCAAGCTCCTTCAATTTACCAGTCTTAACAATATCAGTCCACGGGGGCAACTCAATCTGTTATCCAAAAAAGGCAAGATCAATCACTGAACAACAACTTCATCATCAAATAACTACTTATGCTTCAACAGCATCTGAATGTGCCCTAGAAATAAACAGAAGGGGGGAAACTAGAAAGTTTTAACTGCAAACCAATCACCGTTGCTGAACCTAAGAACATGCAGAGATTAAGCAAGCTAGCAGAAAACCCACAACAGGAAAATCCATGACCAGAAGAACAAACTTCAGGCATTATCAGTATGAAGAATTGAAGAAACATTCATGTCCTAGTCTTTTACACGTACATAAACCCATTAACCCGAAATCTATCAAACTGAAAACACACCAACATCCGTAATAGATCGAATCATACCACACGAGAACAAAATTCAAAGAACCTATGGCCACTCTAATCGCAATAAACCCATTAACCCGAAATCTATCAAACTGAAAACACACCAACAACCGTAATAGATCGAATCATAACACACGAAAACAAAATTCAAAGAACCTATGACCACTCTAATCGCCAGCTACAAGATCGAATTCACAGTACTCCGCAGGCATGTAAACAGATATCGAAAGAGTAGTATCATAGAGAACCAAACTAATTCGTATCACATTAATAAGCTATCAGAACCACCAGGCAAATCTCACCGACCACAGAGAAAATTAGAATCTAACCCAAAGCCTATGCTGCTACCACAAACCAATTAAAGTGTCGTCAGAGGAATTTGGAGCTTGCGGGCAAATAGTTTTTTTGGCTGCGATGTACGGCAGTCAGTGTGAATTGTTTGGGAATTGATACCTTGCCAGATCGCTTCAGGTGAGCGGCATATGCCTTCACGAACTCGTGGGGTGAGACATCCTTCACAGTACCAGCCTTCACAACGTCGCCGGGAGCCGCCATTCTTTCTGCGAGTCGCTGCGCTCCGCCTCTCTTGAACAAGTATTGCAGAAATGGCTAGGGTTTTGGGGGTGCCGGACCTTGTGTTTTGTTTATATATATGTACATGGGTTAGGGTTTGGATTAGGCCCTTCGTTTCTTTGACCCGGGCCGGGTACATGGTTATCGGCCTCCCATTGCTCCATTAAGAAGGGTTTGGGCCGCGGCCCGCGGGTGTTAAATGGACCAAGACAAAAACTCACCAATTAAAATGGTCAGTTCACTTAATTGAGTCGTTAACTTTGTACATATTGTTCCTCTTAATTGAGTGACTTATTGGGGGGAAAAAATGGTCAGTTCACTTTGGTTTTTGTACCCAAAAAAATGGCCATGTATAGCTTTTGTTTTGACTGTATAATGCTCGCTTTACTTCGAACTTCAAACAAAACGATCCATCCATCTAAATCCAAACTCAACAAAGTGGTGATGTGATGCAAATCAATGGGTCAGTAGGACAAATCGAAAACAATATTCATGTTCTGCCTTTATGTTGTTATAGGTCGGGTAATGTTCGCACCAAAACAGGACGAGACAAATTGAGTTGAGCGAGTCAGATTAAAAATTGTCATCACTATTTGCACGAGGGAGAAAAGAAGTTGGTATGGAAAGTCATTTGATAGAGCGTGAAAGAAAGAGATACGAAAATATATGAAATGGAGAGAGTGAGAGATCACATGTGGACGCAATTTTGCGTTCCAAAATTATCCTATCCTAATCTCATATTGTCAGTTTGAAAAGAAGCACATGATGATTGGTTATCACCCTTGTTGGAGTCACTCATAAACTTTTTTGAATCTGATAGGGTACATTAGTAATCCTCAAAGCAAAAGCCTAGTTAAGGACATAATGAAGAAAAGAAGACAAAGGGAAAAAGACAAGGCCAAGGGACAAAGAGACAAGCTCAGGCACCTTACATCAGTAAGGACTAGGGGCAGGGGGACACCACCTGCCAAAAGTACAATGTACAGTGTCAGAGAGTCTGAGGCGCCCGACCACAGCATTTATGGCTTGGCAGGCGCCCAGACCACGACCTAACCCTCAAATGTGTATAAATAGGAGTTCTCTCCTCATAAATGGAAATCAATCTACTCTTGCTCTAACTTCTCTCTACTTTCTCTCTCTATATACTTCTTCTCTTTTTCTACTTCTGACGAGGCGGGGCGCCTACCCCCTCAAAGTCATGGCTGACGTCCCAAACCCCTTGGACCCGAGCGACCCCCAGTCGATCGGGCTCAAACAATTGGCGCCCACCGTGGGGCAAAGCATGACTTTGAAAGACGCTTCCAACTCAAAGAAGGGAGAAGAAAGGAGTCCGGCACCAACGAAGACCCCTCTCAAGCAAGTTGTTGGTCGTGAGGCTATCAATCCTCAACCACTCACCATCCAAGGTTTGGAAGCATCTGACGACGACGATCCATCGGGAGACAGAGAGGGCGCGGAGTGCCTGGAGGGCCAACTAGCAAAGCTTCGGGAAAAGCAAACACTTCAAATGGCGAACATGCAAGGCCAACTAGACCAAGTCATGACCGCGTTGACGGCACTCACCAAAGCTAACGACCAGGCGCCTCCCAACTCACAAGAAGCCATGGAAGAGAGGAGGCGCCTCCGAGGAAAGATGCAGGAGGTTGAGGCGCCACCCATGAACTCCCCAAGGGAGGGTGTGGGCGCCTCGCCAAATGAGGATGCAATGGAAGCAGACGACGATGTCTACCTGGAGAAGTACGCCCGACTCAACTATGGCGCCTTGGAGGAAAGGAGTTCCCAAATCATTAGACAGTCGTTGTCAAAGGGAGTGCTCGAGACACCAATCCCACCAAATTTCGCAAGCATCGGTCTACCATCGTATGAAGGAAAATCTGATCCAGAGGATCACTTGAGTGCGTTCTGCCGTAAAATGCAACTTCTCAATGCATCTGACGCTGCCTTATGCAAGGCATTCCCCTCAACCTTCACCGGAGCATGCAGTAGTTGGTACTCATCGCTTCCGGAGGGCATCATTCAGAGCTTCGCTCAATTCGCGTTGCTATTCACAATAAAGTACGCAAACCAGAAGAGGCAGACGCTGACGGTCCGGGCACTTGTCAACCTTAAGCAAAGAAAGGGAGAGAGCCTCAGGCACTTCATGGGGCGATGGTGGGAGGTTGCGTCCGATGTCAAAGACCTAACCCCTCCACTTATGCGCACCAACCTAATGGACGCAAGCACTAACGAAGAGCTAAGGCGCTCTCTAGCCAAAAGAGAGATAAGACAGGTGGCTGAGCTGGAAGAAAAGATTCAGAAGGCAATTCTCATGGAGGAGTCGCTAGGGGCAAAGGAGGAGGAGCAAGGAGGTAGCTCCAGGCGCCCAGCTCAGAGTGGGAGGGGGGAGGCGCCTAGGACCAGAAGGCGAAGTCTGGATCGACGAGATGATACCCGACGTCCCAATGTTTGGGTAAGGAGAGACGTTCTTGCAAATTCACAAGAGCCTCGCCGCGACCGCACCAATCGCGAGAACGTGAACCAATCTCGTGGGCAGGCAAACATGTACTGCGAGTACCACAACTCGCGCACCCACAACACCGTTGACTGCCACTACTTCAAAAAGGCACTCAAGATAATCTCTGATGAGGAGGAGTAAGGGAAATGATCCAGAAAGCAGATCAGGGAAACCAATCCCCGCGGGAACGCAGTCGCTCCCCAGCCGCAAGGCCACCGGTATAGGAGCGCCTGGGCCCCAACCCGAACGTCAAGGAGATAAGAACCATCGCGGGAGGGGAGCCTAGCCGAAAGAAGAAGCGCAAGGGGCAAGCAAGTGACACATGGTGTATGAAGATCACAAAACAAGAAGGTCCCGACTTGTCGTTTACATCGCAAGACTATCCTCCGGAGGGCCCGTCTGAAAGCCCTCTTGTCATCAACATACAAGTAGAAGGTTTCAAGGTGTTCAGAGTGCTGGTTGACAGTGGAAGTTCCGCCAACATACTCTTCTATTCTTGTTGGCGCCAAATGCGGACACCCCCTGAGGTGATGCAAGCTTCAGAGGCCCAACTTGTCGGCTTCTCCGGAGCGAAAGTGAAGGTGCTAGGAACCGCGCGCCTAAAGGTCAAAGTAGGAGATGAGGAGCCAAGTGCCACACACCCAGTGGACTTCCACATTGCCGATTGCCCGTCCGCATATAATGCCATTCTAGGAAGGCCCTTCCTAGCTCGATTTGGGGCTGTGGCCTCAACCTGCCATCAAGCAATGAAATTCCAAACACCCCAAGGGATGGGGATAGCCAGAGGGGATGTGAAGGCAGCAAAGGCGTGCTATGCAACGACCATACACAAGCCAAAAATACACACGATTGATGCTAGACCAACAGAAGTGCCGCGCCCAGGAGCAGTAGATTCAGAAATAGAGCTGCCGTTGGACCCCGACGACCCAAGCCGGGTCGTCCGACTCTCGGCCCATTTGCCGGAGCACATGCGCCTCCCAATGATCAACCTGTTAAGGAATACTCAGACTTATTTGCTTGGAGCCCTGAAGACATGCCAGGCGTTTCTAGAGACCTTATGGAACATAAGCTCTCCGTGAAACCAGAAAGTGTGCCAGTACAGCAAAAAAGAAGGGGAGCATCGTTGGCGAGAAGGGTGGCCATGATGGAAGAGGTACAGAAGCTACTTAAGGCGGGGTTCATTCGAGAGGTGCAATACCCAAAGTGGTTAGCAAACACAGTGTTAGTCAAGAAACACAACGGGACATGGAGAATGTGTATTGACTTCACCTCACTAAACAAAGCATGTCCGAAGGACCCATACCCATTACCAAGAATTGACCAACTGGTCGATGCCACCTCCAATCACGAGATGTTAAGCTTTCTCGACATGTTTTCAGGGTACCACCAAATTCCTCTCAGCGAAGAGGATCAAGAGAAAACGGCTTTCATGACCCCGTACGAGAACTACTGCTATGTAGTGATGCCATTCGGTTTGAAAAACGCAGGTGCCACCTATCAGAGGATGGTAGACAAAGTCTTTGGAGAACAGATAGGACGAAATGTGGAGGCATACGTAGACGATGTGTTAATCAAGAGTAAGAAAGAGGGTGACCATCTGAGCGACCTAAGGGAAAAGTTCGAGAACCTAAGGCGCCACAATCTGAAGCTTAACCCCCTCAAGTGTGTATTCGGAGCAGGTGCGGGTCAATTTCTAGGCTTCATGATCACTCGCCGTGGTATTGAGGCCAATCCGAAGCAGATAAAGGCGATTGCCGAACTCAAGTCACCAAGAACAGTAAAGGAGGTTCAGGCATTGGCAGGTAAACTCGCCGCACTCAACAGATTCATTCCCAGGTCAGCGGATAGGTGCGCCCCACTCTTCAATGCTCTAAAGAAGAAATCCAAGTTCAAGTGGACGGAAGAATGTGAGAAAGCGTTCGAAGAGATGAAGACTCTGCTAGTAAATCCCCCCATCCTCGTAGCTCCAAAGGAGGGAGAGCGTTTGTTCCTTTACATAGCCATATCAGACGTGGCTATCAGTGCGGTGCTCGTTAGGCGTCACCTTGAAAATCTTGCAGATCAGCCGGTGTACTACATCAGTAAGACGCTTCTCCCAACTGAAAGGAGGTACCCAACCATCGAGAAGGCAGCCCTAGCATTGGTAACTGCCGCCCAAAAACTGAGGCCCTATTTTCAAGGACACACGGTCACTGTACTAACTAACCTGCCAATGAAAAGAATTCTTCATAGCACAAGTACTTCGGGACGCCTAACCAAATGGGCAGTTGAGCTAAGTGAGTTCGATATCCAGTATGCTCCTCGCCCTTCAATTAAAGCCCAAGTCCTAGCAGATTTTGTAGCAGAGGGAACGATCGAGCCTACAGGGACCGATGAAGGAAGGTGGAAGCTGTTTGTCGATGTTGCGGCAAGTAAGACAGGGGCAGGCGCCGGCATAGTCTTGGAAACGCCAGGAGGTGTCACACACGAAGTGGCCTTACGATTCTCAACACTTAAAACCAACAATGCGGCTGAATACGAGGCACTGATCAAAGGCATGTGCATTGCGGAGGAGCTAGGGGCAAGGCGCCT